AGGAGGAGGGAAGGAGAGGGAGAGAGAGAGAGAGAGAGAGAGAGAGAGAGAAGAAAGGAAGCTGAGAGGAAACAGAGCGGGGAAACAGAGGGGAACAGAGAGCGTAAATGGGCAGGGACTTGTCTTTTAAAGGGGTCCTCTGCACCTGCATGCAGACTTAGTTGCCATGGAACCTTGGGCTGACCAGGGTATTGCCTGTTCCACCAGGTAACGGGCAGGCCAGCATAATGCCCGAACCTTTCACACCTCAGATCTTTGGGTTGCTCTGTCTTGCAATGAGAAATTCATCTCGTGATTATATACTTGGGTGGCCACTCTGTTCCATGTGCCTCGTTCTCTGTCTCTAAAAGCAAGTTGAAGAGTGACCTTTCCTGGGATATGTCCTGTGCAAGGACCGAGCTGCTGCTTAGACGTGGGTCACATGGTGTGCACTCGCTTTGCTTTGACCAAAGCAAGTCACGTGGTCAGAAGTACACTCTTTGGGGAGGGGGCAGGGCTGCTGAAGAGGGCTGTACGCTGTTCTCGAGAGTCTTTTGGGTACAGTGGTGCACACGGACTGGTCATCCAATGAGACACAACCTTCTTTTCAATCAAAAAGGATTTTCTACAAGGGATTTGTCTCACGCCTGACTGTGAGGGAATCATTTCAAAGATTATCATCTTCAGCAGTGGTGGTCAAGTTAAATGTGAAGTAAGTATCGTTATTACACCTTTTGGAAACGTGGCTTGAGTGTGTGGATATTGTCTTTGAACACTCAGGGATATTGCGGTGTGCATTGCAGTGAGCCGCTCCCCACACCGTTGACCCTTACTGGGAGGGACGGTTTACGTTTTAGTTCTATTGGTTTTTCCCTTTAATTATATTTTTTCTTAAGTCCATCAAACTTTGGGGTATTGTTGGGATGTGGGCTTTTAGGCAGCAGGGAGAACTTTGCATCCTGGGGATAGCAGCAGTGAGTGGCTGTGAAACACTTTATAGCTTACCGGATTTTTTGCTTGGTTGTTTCTTCGTAAAGTGTCTCCTGTTCCTTTTTACTGAATTACTTGGCTGCAGAGTTCTGGGCTTCTGTGTGGTGGTTGTATCAGCACTTCTGTTGGTTGAGTGTAGACTGTGTGCTTCTGAGATACTTGTTTCTCGTGCTTTGGTTCCCTATGTCATGTGACTGTGAGAAAAATTTTGTCTTTGTTTTATTTTAAGTTTGAACACAAGGTCATAAAAGAAAAGGCTCCTTCAAGACCTATTCTGAAACAGAAATGTTCTAGGTAAGACTTTTCACATCAGACAATAGTTTTATGATGTCTTGTAGAATATAATTATATTAAACACAGATATATAAAATATGCTGTTTTTTTTTAAAGTTGCACACAAAATAAATATTGAAAATGATTTTATACATATCTAAAACTATAATGAACTAGCCTGGAATGGTTAAATACTAAAATGTTGAACAAAAATCATTAGTGATTTATGAGTAAAACATTTCATGTTGTGATGTTAACAGATTCGGCACTTAGGTAGAAATGGTATATTCATTCTTGGTTGTTTTAGCTTTAATTCCAAAGCATTTAATAAAATTTTCACCTCTTCAGCAAATATTTTGAACCAATAGCTAGTTCTTACCTTGAAATTTTCAATGTGTTGTCTAAACTATTTACCTCTATGCTTCTTTGTTCAGACCAAATAATTTCAGTCTGTTTTCTTTCTGGTTCTCCTTGTTTTCCATCCTAAAATGTGACTCTTCTCTCTTTTATTTGTATTACTTGTGACCAAGAAAAACAAAAGGTGAACATAATTATTTGTTGGAAATATTTCACTGTAACCACACCAACCAATTTATCACCGTGGTAGGACATTATTGGTTTATTATGAAATACGGCTTTGAAATGAAAAGTTGCACACCTCATCTTGAGGGCTACTCTTTACTGACTAAGCAGCAGTCTGTGTACCTGGACACAGCATCCATATGGTTACATTTGTTGCATTCTTAGATCTCACTTATTTTGACTGAGTTGATATTATAGACCAGTAGGTTTTTGTGGTGAACCGAAATTGTAGGACAGGTTCTAATTTTTAAAAAAATTCTTAATCTGTTAGAGAATGTTTCTGTGTTAGACAAAGGAAAATAGTTAATTGATTTTATAACAAAGATAAATTGCCACTGATTGTAAATGTCTATCAGCCTAGAGAAGATAAGACTCAAAGAAGACAAAAAATTGAAAAGGAAGATCCAAAAACAAGAGGCCAAAAAATTAGCACAGGAGAGAATGGAAGAGGACGTGAAGGAAAGCGCTCCACCCAAAAACGCAGAGCCGGAAGGTATCCAGAAGCACAAACTAAGAAAATAGTGTATAGCTGTCTCAAAGCACAAATACGATTGTTCACTTTTTATGTCTTTTTATGTTCACTTAGTATGTCTTCATACTAATTTTTCCTAAATTGAATATTACTTTTCATTAGCATTTTAGTAGCCAAAAACCAGATTTTATTAGTATCTTAATACTGCTGTCTTGTGGTGAACTGTACCTGCAATCCCGGCATTCAGGAAGCTAAGACAGGAGGATGCCATGACTTTGAGGGTGGCTTTGAATGTATAGCAAGAGTCTGTCTCAAAAAAAGCAAAACCGAAAACCAAATACAGCCCGTTACTCTGAGACACCTACTCTAAAGCAAAACCCCAGGGAGTTTGCTCTGAGCAAACCACTTCTTTGGTGGTGGCATCAAAGCTGAGTTGCTGCTTACCATGTGGGCACTGTACGGTGTGCCAAAGGGATCTGAGTTCCAGTGTCCTGAACGGAGTTACTGATTTTCTCAAATAATGTGTCATATTGTTGGTTCTGAGCTTCTGCTGTTTAAGTCAGGGTTTGGTAGTTCGGCGTTTTGTTGATGCTCATGTTTTCATTCCTGAGCAGCACAGGAATGTCTTGGGTGATTTTCCTGTTCCTGTGAATAGCTCACACATGTATTTTCAGTTTTGAGTTGAAATAGCGTTTCCTCATTTTCTATTGTGTATTCTGCAAATGAAATATTTTCCATAGACTGTGTGATTTTTTTTCATCTGTTTAGTATTTGGAAAATGCCTGAAAGGTAAATAAATTATATGTTGTAGTGAACTTGTTTTCAGCGTGCTTCTTTCTTCGAACTAAGCACATTACATCAAATGTTTGGTTGCTGAGGCTGGGTTAGAATATCTGAGAGAAGAAAGCTTATTTTAGAGGGAGTTGGTTTTAAATGCTGTAAGGGATGTGAAAAGAAGATCGTAAAGTATTTGCTCTGGGAGTCCAGGGTGTGTGGATTTAACCCAGGTACCTGGCTAGTGCAGTGAGCAGAGCTGAGCCCCGCCCTCTGCTTTGTCTATCCAAGGCAGTATCACTCAGTTGCTCAGAACTTACAGCCAGAGTGGGTCTTGAACTTGTGATCCTCCTTCCTCAGCCTCCCAAGTAGCTTTTTTTTTTTTGTTTCCCTCAATCTTTGGCTTAATTTGAACTTTCCTGCCTTTTCAAGGATACTAGTAAATATGTATATTCCAAATTTAAAGTTTGCTGAGTTGTTTATGTCAGTACAAACAGAAATCGAACCTCACCTTGCAGGGGAGACCCATCATCACAAAGTTGCTTTTTCCAGGGCAAGGCTTACCCATTGCCCTCTGGTTTCCCCAAGTGCAGGAAACTGATGCAGGATTTGCAGTGGTGGGGATTGCATTCATTCATGTTCTCTCCTGTAGACACAAACCAACAAAACCACAGAAGTCAGCTGTGCTTTAGGTCACTGTGTGCTACGTATGCTCCGTTGTCTTTTTACGAGTTTGTGTAGATGCAAATTAGCCCTGCTTATCCCTTCAACCTTTGTTTTCCTAGGAACCTCAGACAATGTCCAGAGTTGTCAGTTTCTAGATGACAGAATCCTGCAATGCATAAAGCAGAATGCCGACAAGATTAAGTCTGGGATATTGAATACCTCCACACTTCTCAAAGAGCTGCTTTCCTGGAAGGTTCTGAGCACAGAAGACTATACAACATGTTTTTCCAGCAAAAATTTTCTCCATGAAGCGGTCGACTATGTTATCCGCCACTTGGTCCAAGAAAACAATAGAGTAAAGACACGGGTATTTCTGCATGTTTTGAGCGAGCTAAAAGAGATAGACCCCAAGTTGGCTCCCTGGATCCAGAGACTTAATAGCTTTGGTACGTAGCTTTAAATTCTAGAGCGCTGCTGTTCTTATTACTTACAGAAACTTACAAAAAAAAAAAAAAAACCAAAAAAAACCCACACAGGTGTTTTTAGGTTATACTATAGACAGGTTGTGTTACAGTCTTTCAAAAGATGAGAATAAGAAAGGCAGGCTTGATTATGTGAGCTATTTATGAATGTGTAAATTTTCTCAGAAGTAGATAGAAATGGATTCAAAAGTATACTGTACAGTCTGCTGTCAGTGTAGTGGCTGCAGGGATTTGTACAGTTCAAAATGGAGACATAGATGGAAAATTGGGTTTTCATGAGAAAAGGTTTATAAGGACCAGTAGGTGGGCCTGATTGCCAAGAAACTGGGAGCACTGTACTGGCCTACTGTGAGTGGCAGAGTTACACAGCTGCTTGCATGCTCTGGGGTCTTTCTGGTTTGACTGGGAGAAGGAAAGGTTGAGAAAACCTCACAAAGATTGTAGATGCCATGGTCGGCTAACACAGTGAGGATGCTCTTGGCCTTGCGACGGCAGGGTTAGGATGATGTCTAGAAAGGCAGCTGGCCAGGCACAATGCATGAATAGTCACTGCTGTGATAAGACTAGGAAGGCAAGGAACCCTCAGAGACGAGCATACTGCCTCTCAAATCAGTCCAGGGTGGGGCCTGCCTGGCCTCTGACAGAGACCTGATGTCGTCAGATGACAGCAAGCTTGGCAGAGCCAGAAGGCTTGAACACCTAGGTCTGCTTAGGTCTGTATTGGGTTTGGGTCCAGAAAATTACTCTAAAGTGTTAAGACTGTCACTGGTGTCTATCAGATTTACTGCTTGTATTATTTGCTATAGAGGACAGACTGAAGAGTTGGAGAAGTCTTCGTCTGCGTTGTGCCGCAGAGGCTGGAGGACCAGCCACTATTTGTCATTGTTGTAAATGTATTTGAGGCTTGCAGTTCCTCACTACCAGGAGCATCCAGGTCCTTTTGATGTAGTCCGTGTTTACTCTGAAGATAGGAAGTATGTACCCGTAGGTTTAAGTCCAAAAGTGAGCTTAAGCTTTTATTCTAACCTGGACTAAAACACACTTACTTCAAAAAGGAAATGATTTCCAGGAATTTTACTTCCTTCTCAAGAAAGTCCATATAGTAGAATCACTCATGCTTAATTTAGGAGCCAGTTTATTCGATCAGCAAAAAAGGGATGGTGGAAGAAATAGATCGAAAGAGAGGATTAGAATTGAGTGGTGATATCTCTGCTTATATTCCCCTGTGGGACACACGATTTGTTCCTGTCAGGCTGGACAGGGAACGTGAGTGCATGTTATAGGCAGTTCTCGTAAACTGTTATTGACAGTATAGTTGGTGTAGCCATGGATTATTGTGTTTAAACATGCAGACTTAATATCAGTTGGCTTCTGTTAGCTAAGTATCTTGTCTAGAGGAAGCAGCTACCAGAATAATTTTAAGGAATGATCTCTTGCTGACTTGACACCTAGGCCTGTGCTGAGGGCGCCCATGAGATGTGAAGGAGGCATTAGTAAGGAGAGGGCTTCCTTGTCACCAATGTGGGACACATGGGGTCGGGGGAGAAGGCTGAGGGGCCCTGACAGTTTGGAAGATAGCAACCCTTGGAGGTGTTGGAGGAGGAGTCTGTCCAACATAATTCTTTTCAAGGCATTGGGGGATTTGAGTATTACTCACATCTTGTTAGTATGGAATACTTGCAGGAAAACATTGCAACATATAATTCAACTAGACATCAAAGTCAAGAACTAGTGAAAACGGTATGTTTTTAAGGGAATTTTGTGTCATTGTCTTGTAATGATAGAACTGTTTGGCTCACTTTCCTCAACTACTAAAGGATTTTTTAATTATTGTCTCAGTGTTAAATCTTGTTTGTGAAATGCATAATAGTCTTGACTAATTTACCAAGTATTTAAATATTTTCACTGAAAATGTAAGCAGACTATAAATAGAACTACTTCCAAAGGATGTGATGGTTGGGGATTTTGCTGAATAAGTTTAGGCTTTTGTGATTTGGGCTCTGTTCTGTTGCAGGCATAGACGCCACAGGACCGTTTTTTACTCGATATGGAGCCTCTCTCAAGGAACTTGATTTTAGCGTCATGACTTTCCTCTGGAATGAGAAATATGGCCATAAACTGGATTCTATAGAAGGAAAGCAGTTGGATTATTTCTGTGAGCCAGCATCCATGAAGGAAGCCCGCTATTTAATATGGCTGCTGGAGGAAAACAGAGACAAGTTCCCGGCCTTGCACGGGGCCCTTGATGAATTCTTTGATGTCATGGGTACGAGAACTGAGTGGGGTGGGGGGATGGTTTAAATGTGTTTTCTTGTGGAGTGGTTGACAGTCTTTGAATGAAGGGAAATGGGAAGAAGGCTGAGGACTTCCAATAAGGTCTCAGCCTTTGGTTCTTCCTCTGTGAAGTCTGAATGGAATTGGGTTAAGCCAGGGGGAATACGCCAGACAGCAGCTAATGAGCTGATTTAATCTGTGTGACTCTCTTTTAAAGATTCTAAGGCTACATTCTAAATTAATTTTAGTTTCCCATCTTTTGTTTGTGTGACATCGTGTGGTAATGGCTTTATTCTCTCCCCTTCTCTCAGCGTCAAAGTCTATACATTGTTAGGCGTGAGCTTTCCAGCTCTGTGCTCTCTGTTTTTGAGTGTGCATTAGGAGTTCTGACCTTGCAGCACTGTGGTGTGTCAGAGTTCAGTGCAGTGCAAGGTGCTTACTTGTGTTGGATTTTAGAAAAGGATGTCCCTTCCTGACTGAAAGGGACACGGTATTTAATAGTCTGGGCTCCCTGTCATTGGTTCAATGCCTGTAAACCCTGCTGGATTCACAAGCCTGTTCAGTGCCTGTAAACCTGCTGCATTCACAAGCCTGTTGCACACCACCAACAGCACAAGTCCCTCTGGGATGCACCTGACACACATAGCACACCTAGCTGCCCATGGCTCTCTGCCTGCACTCACTCAGTTATTTTGGTCTTAGTTTTTAAACTAAGCTGTGTCAGAGCCAGGTGAAGAAAGAGCATACAGATATGCCTGATAGTCCCAGGCATGGTTTTGTAAGGCTTTAGTATGTGATAATAATAAATTTAAAAGTGTAGATGATTGAGTGACCACATAGAGACTTGTGTTCTTCCTGCAGATAGCCGCTGCACTGTGTTGAGGAAACAGGACAGTGATGAAGTGCCGGTGAGTCTGTGGATCTCAGGGTTTTCTTTATGTTGGACAGAGGGCGGAGGAGAAGCGGGGTGGGGGACTTACATTAGAGTGCAAATGTCATTCATTTGGAACAGAGGTGCCCGGCATGCACACTGGCCAGCCTGAGTCGCATCCCCAGCAGTGCACACCTGGGCACTCAGGAAAGAGAAACAGGAGGACCAGATGTTCAAGGGCACCCTCAGCTACACAGAGACTTCAAGACCAGGCCAGGCGTCCTGAGACTCTGTCTAAACATAATCTTCAGATTAATAAATGGTGACTTTAGAAAGAGGAAAGGAAGAGTTCTTCAGTCAGGAAAGATGATGCTTGTTCAAGAAGCAGCACAAGGAGACTTGCTCCCAGGATCCTTCTTGGTGTAAACTGAGGCATGTAGTGTAGCCTTTGCTCAGGGACTGTGGCTGCCTTTTAGTCTCTCCTCAGTTAAGAATGTGATAGTGAGGAGAAAATGTCATGTTTGCCAGTGTGTCCTTGCAGAGTGTTGTACATTTCTCTAGTCGATAGGCCTTGCCAAACGTGGAAAAACAGAGCAAACCTGTGGTAGGTGAACACCAGTCCTTCGTGGTCCCACCCAGTTTCTGGCCACATGCTGGATGTCTGTAAAAGGAGTGTCTGTAAAATGCTGTCGTCTACATTAAATTTCTCCAAAATCTGGTTATTTATTTGAAGCAACATAAGCCCTGTTGAAATTGAGGTTAAGATGTTGGGGCAGTTTAATGTTTAGTAGTAACAAGATGTGTCATTAAGTCTTTTCTCAGTAGTTCTTGGAGTGATGCTTCCAGTATGTGCACTCCACTGTGGGGAAACAAAGATTTAACTATACATGGCTAGTCAAGGAAAACGAGTGGGTTGTTTTCATTGAGATTTCTGATTCTACTATTCGAGGATTCATTGGTGTTCTTTTTCATTTTTTAGTTTGGTTGTATCAAAGTAAAAAACAAAGGCAAGAAAAAGAAGCCAAAAGATTCAAAGGTATGGAATGTCTTCTGTCAAGATCTTTGGTCTCCTTTGGTAACTGACTTAACTATGTTCGTGAGAAAGAAACAGCTCTTGCGACAGTTTGAAACACCGTGTCTGGGTGAACACACATGAGACCCCATGAAGGTGGCAGTCGAACAGAGTAGGCAGGAGGGAGTGCTCTGTGGTTAGGTGGGTCAGGCTGTCCAGCGCCTGTCGAAACACCCAGTGCAGCTGGTACCCTAAAACTTGCTGGCCAGCCAGTCCAGCGTACCTGGGGTAATCCAGGCCTAGTGAAACACTGGGAAATGGCTGATGAAGACACCTGATGGCAACCTGTGACCACACACACACACACACACACACACACACACACACACACACGTACGTCGTTGGACACCTGCAAACACCCATCAGCACATACACCACAGAATTCATGCACACAGGGAAGAGATGATTGGTTCTCAGCTAGCACATGTTTACTAATAATACCACTCGCCTGATGGTTGTTCCTGTTGAGATGTTTATCTAAAATAGTCACAGTGATGAATTCCAGCCGTCCTTGATGACCTAGGATTGCCATTACCCTTTCCTTGTAGTCACATCAGTTCCAAGCCCTGGAGACAGAAGGGGAGGTCTTCATGGCTCCAGCATAGATGGGGGAGATGGGAAGAAAAAGTGAGCAACGGCTAGAAAGGGGTGCAAGCAATTTAGGGTTTTCCGCACAGCTTAGCTTTGCATCTTTGAGAAAAACGGCTATTTTATTGACTAAGTTACAGTCACATCTACATTTTTTGGAACACTGGAAACTACCCTAAGTTTTAATTTTCAATCAATTTCTGGCTGTTAAAATTTATAATGGTGCATCCTATTTATAAGAAACTTTGAGTTCATGTTTTAGTATTCACAGTTGGCATGCATGTGTTTACATAAATTCTTATTAATTTCTAAGGTGAGTTTTTCTCACCTTAGAATTTTAGAATAGAATAGAATAGTGTCGTTTTTAAGATAGAATATTTTTATCATTTATCATAGAGTCTCACTGATTTTTAGGGTAGGAATATCATTGTCTCTTTTCTTTCTCTTAAATCAGCCAATGTTAGTGGGATCTGGAACAACATCGGTAACAGCAAGTAGTGAGACTGTCACTCCAGAAGACCCTAAGTAAGTAAAGTTAGTTTACCTCAGTGTAACACAGGTGTCTGTACTTTTAAAAGTCATGCCAACTTACTATAGACTGGTGTTTTCATTCATCCTCCCTCCCTCCTTCCTTCCTTCCCCTCTTAAAGATATGAATCCATTATGATAATTTCTTTGAATTAATGGCATGGTTACAAGAATTATAGCCTTGGGGCTGGAGAGATGGCTTAGGGGTTAAGAGCACTGACTGTTCTTCCAGAGGTCCTGAGTTCAATTTCCAGCAACCACATGGTGGCTCATAACCATCTGTAATGTGATTTGGTGCCCTCTTCTGGCACGCACTGTAGACATGATGAGTAAATAAATAAATGTTTAAAAAAAAAAAAAAAGAATTATAGCCTTAAGAATTCATTCGAAAGGATTAGAGGAAGGAGAGACTCTGGTAAAATGATTCCTGAGACAGATAAAACCAAAATTTGTGACATGAATGTGTGAAAATGTCATATTTGGAAGCCCGTTATTTTTGCACAATGAGTGGGGCTCAGTTGGTAAAGTGCTTTCAGCACGAATGAGCATGAAGACATTTTTAAGGTGGGGGAATTGTCTTAACATGAACTAATAGAAACTCGTCTTGATCCATTTGGGCTGTCAAGACAAAATGCTCTAAAGTGACGAGCTTAGAAACTTTAGAATTCTGAGCTGGCAAGATGGCTCAGTGGTTAAGAGCACTTGCTCTTGCAGAGGACCTGGGTTTGATTCCCAGCACCCACACGGTGGCTCACAACCATCCATACTCCAATTCTAAGAGATCTTCAGCCCTCTTGTCATTTCTGAGGGCACTAGGCACACACATGGTGCACGTATGTATGCTGGCAAAACATTAATAAACATAAATCTTTAAATTAATCAATTAAAAAACAAACCATATATTTATCAAAACAATATACACCAAACTGAGTAGCTTACAAACAGTGGCGTATTCCTCACAGTTCTGGAGTCTGAAGTCTGGTGTCAGAGGCCGCCCTCTTCTGGTACATCCTTGGATGGCTCTGTCTTTCTGTGTTCTCACAGATGGAAGAGAGGCTCCATACAAGTCAGGTATACCACCTCATGACCTGATCACTTCCAGAAGGTCCCGCATCCTAACACCATCATGCTGGGATTAAATTTCAGCGTAAGAATTTGGGGGTGGGGTGTCGCACACCAACATTTAGATCATAACATGGCCTTTACTGACATTGACATGCACCAGTTTCTCTTCTAGGGCTTTAGACATGGAGCTCATCTAACCCATTCATCTGCCACGGGACAGGCAGTGTTACTCTGTCCGTGTGGATAGATACGGAGACTGAGGCCTGGTAGAAGGAGGGACTTTCCAAGTGTAAAATGCTGGCTGATAACAGACCCTGTATTTAAACCACGCTTTCTGATTTTGAAGGCCACATTCAAGATGTTATGTCTTTTTAGAGAAGACCCTAAGCCTAAAAAGGCCTCTTTTAGAGGGAAGAGAAAGTACTGAAGGGGAAAAAAAGAGGATGGTGCTGGCAAGGATGGAAATACTATAGAAAACAGAACTACAGAACACCGATGGGGCAGGTTTTCATCACAGTGGCAGTTCGCTCACTTAGGCTCTGTTGATGCACATTTATTCCCTGAACCAAACTGCATTCAGCTTTATTAAAGATGCTTTTCATGAACAGTCGCTGTGTTTTAGGAAGGACACTTATAACTTAAACCTGTGGAGTCCACGCCACGACTGATTCTAACAGAACCTCCACTGTGGTGTTTGTGCCATGACTGAGAGTATCGGGTGAAAGCCTGGAGATTTAGTTAAAAGCATAGACGCCTGCTTGTGCTATGTGCATCTTTTTTTTTCAGGGAGGGAGCAGCCTTATATACTGACTTATAGCACAGTGGAGAAACCCCAGGTGTCAGAGCTTGTGTTTTCCACATCAGTGGGGTGAGGCTGGGGCTGTAAGCCAGGAGTAGAAAACAGAATGCCCCTGTGGTTGTTGCTGACAAGCAACTCACGCAACCCCGCAGGGGCCCAGTGTCTTTCCCAACATCTCGCCCTTCTTTACATATCAACAAATGAAAATTCATACCAATACAAAGCAACGAGAGAAAACCCATACCAATGCAAAGTATTTTTGGGAATTTGGGCGTTGGTCATTCCAAACTGCTTCCTGCTGAATGGAGGCCCTGTCATAGGGATCCTGACACAGAAACCTAGCTAAGTCCTTGTGTTTGTAGTCTGTAAGGCCTCATCATCTCAGCTGTTTTACATATCCTTCTTTTCCTTAGCAAAGAATTCAAAGACAGCACACTAGCATACAGTATCCAGACTCTGTGTATTTTTCTTTCTTATTATTCTATTTTTTTACTTTTCATTTTCTTTTTGAGACAGCGCTTCTCTATTTCCAACCCAACTCTCTCAGGAGTTGAGCTACCTATTTCCCAGTACCTTTCCAATCCAACTCTCTCAGGAGTTGAGGCACCTACTTTCCAGTGCCTTTACCAATCCACCCTCATAAATCCTTACTTGCTGGCCAGCCTTCTGAGGGCAATATCTTAGGGTCCTTTTCTTTCCCAATCTCGGTGGAACCTCCACTCCTGGCGTTCGCCACACAACTAAGTCCGAGAATGGGGTGAAACCCTGGAGGTTTAATAAAAAACTGAGCTAGTGTATGTTCCTGTGATTATTGGCTGCTCATGGAGACCCCGTGGGGGCTGGGGCCCAACATCTCTCCCAACAAAACCCCTTCTGGGAGAGCCTACAAAAATCAGAAAGCCAGTGTAAAACCCATGAAGTGAGCTGAACATGGTGGTCTTGGCTCTCGGGAGGCTGAATTTGAAGCTAGACTGAGCTACACAACAAAGTAAGTTCAAGGTCATCCTGAGCTACATTGTTAGACTGTCTTACACACACACACACACACACACACACACACACACACACACACACAGTTTTCATTGTGTGCTCTAGATAAGGAAAGGCTGGCAGGACTTCTCATGAGCCAAGCCTGCAAATGAAATGGAGGTAGAATTACGAATCTGAAAACCTACAGTCTTGAAAGAGAAAGACTGCTGTTCTGAGGATGACATCTTGATGTCACTACAAGGTCCACATGGCCTGGCATATGGGCAAAACTAATTTTGTGGGTTCAGGCCCAGCAGTCTTCTGGTTTAGGGGAGCTTGTGTTCTTGCATGCCAAGGAAGCTGTACCAACGTAGCTGGCTGCATTTCTCAGCATGGGGAATCTTGGTCTTTTGGAATGTCAAGGAAAGGTAAAGTGTTTCCCTCCACACATCCATCTCTGGGGACATTCTGTTAGTGACACGTGCTCTTTCCCTGAAAGCAGCAGAGTTCTTGTATTAACAGCATGACTTTAAGACTTGCTAACCAGCCACAAGTGTTAGGGTGCACGCCTTTTATCCCAGTCCTCAGGAGGCAGAGACATAGAGTTTTAGGCCAGCATGGTCTACAGAGTGAGTTCCAGGATAGCCAGGGTTACACAGAGAGACCTATGTTGAAAAACAAGTAAAAAAATTAAAAATAAAAGTTAAAGAGTCTCGTTAAAGCCTTGTGTAGCTCATACCTAAATAGTGCTTAGTAGACTAAGGCAGGATTGCCAAAGGTTGGAGGTCAGTCTGGGCTTCAGTTTTTAAGATCCTGTCTCAAGAATAAACATTTTTGATAAAAATACTTTAAACTGTACAGTCACTGAAATACACTAACCAAAATGCTCACACTTGCTGGGTCTCCCTCCTTTGGCCTCTCCAATGCCATCAGTGGCCTGCACTGATCCTACAGTCCGCTCCCTGTGGTGTTACCAGCTTTCTTTCTCCCTCAGCATCTCTGCTCTTCGAAGGGCCTTTTTTAGTCTCAGGCTCTGGCTTTGGAAGAGCAGATGAGGAAAATCTGGAAATTTCTCTGTGGCTGTTCCTTACTTTGGCCCTGTCTCCTTTAGCATTGCCTTCAACTTGTCTTGAGCACAGAGATGGTCACTGCGGGGTATAGGCCCTTGATTCCCATCAGGGGTGTTTGTGTGGCCTGGAGGTTCTAGGCTCTCCTCCTCCTGTTCTTCATAATGCTATTACACACTTTTGGTTTGTTTGTTTGTTTGGTTTGTTTGTTTGTTTGTTTGTTTGTTTGTTTGAGACAGGGTTTCTCTGTGTAGCCCTGGCTGCTCTGGAACTCCGCCCTGTAAACCTTCTGGCCTTGAACTCAGAGATCCTCCTGCCCCCACCTCCTGCATGCTGGGATTAAAGGCATATGCCACTACCACTGGCTTTTTGAATACTTTTTTTTTTTAATGCTTTTATTAATACCTTTAATGTTCTTTTTCTTTGTTTTTGTTTTTGGAAACAGGATTTCTCTGTGGCTTTGGAGGCTGTCCTGGAACTCGCTCTTGTCAACCAGGCTGGTCTTGAACTCACAGAGATCCTCTGCCTCTGCCTCCTGAGTGCTGGGATTAAAGGTGTGCACCAACGGCTGGCACCTTTAATGTTCTTAACCTTTCTTAACTTAAATGAGTAGCAATTATAATTTTTAATCTGCATTTGTCTCTAACTCTTCAGTGAGTTATAATTAATGCAGCATTAATTTTGTTTGTTTATTTTCTTTTTTTGAGGCAGGGCCTTTCGATATAGTCCTGGCTGTCCTGGAAGTTGCAGAATAGTTTGAACTCCCAGAGATCTCCCTGCCTCTGCCTCCTGAGTGCTAGGGTTAAAGTCGTGCACCACCACGCCCAGCCTTGATTTTTCTGTTTTAAATACAGAGTTTGAAAATAACTGTGCTCATGGTGATTCTTGACTATAACTGTACATTTAAAGTTTCATTTATTTGATAGAATATAAGCTCAGTGTTTCTTGACTGTAACTGTGTTTAAAGTTTCATTTAATTGTTGTGTCCGTGTTTCACCAGCCTTTGTGTCTGTCTGTGCCCTGCTGATGGCTGTAGCTATTAGAAGAGACCACCGATGCCCTGGACCCAAAAGTTATAGATGGTTGTAAACTTTCTATTAGGGACTGGGAACTGAACCCATGTCCTCTGTAGCATTAACAAGTGCTCTCAGCCACTGAACCAACTCTGCCCCCACCCAACCCCGTTAATAACTTTTCTTTGGTAATAAATTGCAGCATAAAACTGAGATTACTAATTTTATTTTGGTTATTTTGTTTTCTTAATTACATATTTTCCTATAGGTTATTTTATTTCTCTGTTTTCTTGTATCTTTACCTGCAATCAAATATTCCTTCCCCAAACTGTGTTCATAAAATTGTCTTTAACCCAGCAGACGCAACTCAGATTCTGCAGGCCCCTTCGCAGTGCCTGACCACCTTCGCCAAGATGTAGAGGAGTTCGAGGCTCTTTATGACCAGCACAGCAGCGAGTATGTCGTCCGCAATAAGAAGCTGTGGGACATTAACCCCAAACAGAAATGCTCCACGCTGTATGAGTACGTACCTTTGCATTCCTGCGGCGCATTTACAACGCTGCCAGCGCGGGATCCAGGCTGTTTGATTGTGTCCTTTACACTTGTGAACATGTTTTCCATTTGGCTCATCTCTGGGGAATGTATGTTCAGAACCTTTGCCATGGATTTCACCAAGTTTATTGGGGTTTTCAATTACTGGATTCAGAGTCCCAATCATGGTTTGTCAGTTTGAGCTGCTGAGACTGATACTTTTTGCTTTTAACCCTGTCCTGATAGGGCTGGTAAAGCAGGCTTTCTGCCATGGTCTTGGGGTTTTGAGACAGCATTTCACGGCCCAGCTCAGCAGCCTTGACCCACAGACCTCCTCCCTGAGCAGTCTTTCCAGCCCTGTTTGAATACGGGTACAAAAGGCTGCTGTTCGTTAATACCATCCTGTTCATTATGGGAAGTGACACCGAGTAGTCTGACTGTGTTTAAAGTGAATTTGTACACACCCACACCGTTCCCATGAACCACCCTGTTGCTTGTGTCAGCTGCATGACCACTGTCAACTTGATTGATACAAGCCATCTTTACGTCAGTCTCCACTATCCTCACTAAGGATTACTGTTTTAGAGGAAACACCTTATATCCCTCAGCCCTGTGCTTTGACATATTTCTCTGTAAAGATGCAGACAGTGGGAACAGTCTGAGAACAGAGCTGTATTTAACCATGACTTGAGAAAGGACAGATTATCCTGTGAGGAAAATAATATCCATAAAAAGCATTAAAATCGGTCCGGGTGGGGGCTGGAGAGATGGCTCAGCAGTTAAGAGCACTGACTGTTCTTCCAGAGGTCCTGAGTTCAATTCCCGGCAACCACATGGTGGCTCACAACCATCTGTAATGAGATCTGGTGTCCTCTGCTGGCATGCAGGCAGAAGACTGTATACATAATAAATAAATAAAATCTTTAAAAAAAAAAAATCGGTCCGGGTGACAAGTATTTGAGGCAGCCATGCTGACAGAGTGTTGCCGTGAGGGACAGGCTTGTCTGTGCATGTACAGCACAGGAAGTCCTCGTCTTGTGCTTCATAGGGTGTTTGTAACCTACTTCCCAGAGAGGTGTCTCCTTGTTGCATTCAGCTGCCATGAAAGCCTCCACAGAGTCTTAGTGGTGTCCAGTGTGCTTTGCATCTGAGTTACATTTTGACTGTTACAGAATAAATATAAAATTTAATTGGAAGAAGCCAGTTCTTTGAACAAAATAGACAAGAAACTGGAATGAACAAACCCAGTTCACACCTGGTGCCAGACTAAGAGCTCAGATCCTGTAATGTGAATCTGGGTCTTGGGACAGAGTGGATTTTTGATCAGGGATGATGCATCAGTTCCTCTGAACATTGCATATTCCTGATAAACATTTGAATGCATTTACTGTATGCAAATTAAATGGTTTTGTTTGTAAGAGTTTACTTGAGGTCAGTGAGATACTGAGATTTTTGTTTGTTTGGTTGGTTGGTCTCCCCGCTTTCTTATTTGGCATTTTTGTTACTGGCATTCTTAATATTTTTTCTAAATAAATTTTCTTGATTTTTCTATTGTTTTTACATATATTACACAGTTACTAGTTGGAAGTTATAAAATAACATCTGAGCTTCTTTTCTGTCCCCAAAGAAAGCGTTAAGGGATTGTGTTCACAGGACAAGTGGGTTTCTGATTAATGTGTCATTGGTTCCAATCTGGATTTCATTGTTGGGGGCATAGATATCAGAAGTAAAATATTTTTGCCTGGGGAAGAAGAAAAGAGAACCCTAGTACTTTCTTGTAACTCAGTGTAAATACTGTCTTTTCCAAGTTACTTCTCTCAGCTGCTGGAAGAGCATGGCCCCTTGGACATGAATGACAAGCTGTTCACTGAAAAAGATGAGTTATTCCCTGAAGAAACTCGACAGATGGTAGAAAAAGCAGGAGGTTTGAAATCTTTCCTCCTGGGATGTCCTCGTTTTGTTGTAATAGACAACTGTATTGCATTGAAAAAAGTTGCCTCACGACTCAAGAAAAAAAGAAAGAAGAAAAACATGAAAACGAAAGTTGAAGAAGTTTCAAAACCAGGAGAATATTTACGAGTTAAACTGCCACTAAACCCAACTGCTAGAGAGTTTAACCCAGACGTGAAGCCTACGCCAGTCTGTGAGGACGTGAGGCCCACACCTGGGCCAGCTTCTGAGGATCTGAAACCCCAGCTGGACTCTGATAGCTCTTCTGGTTCAGCTTCTGAGGACAGCAGGCTGGAAGTGGTCTCTCCCGACTCTCCCACACAGCTCTCTGAGGATGTGCATCACCTCACAGGCCCGCATTCCTCTCCTTCCCCAACACCAGCTCCTGAAGATGCCAAACCGACGCAGTACTGGGCTCAGTCCCACGTGGTCACAGGGTTCTGCACATACCTCCCTTTCCAAGGGTTTGACATCACTCAGCCTCGGCCAGCATACATAAACATGCTACCAAGCCTGCCCCAGTTCACCGGCATCTACACGCCTTTGGCCAGCATTCCTTCTGAATATCCCATGCAGAGGGTCATGCCAGTGGTGCCAACTTTTGTAGCCGGCGACAGAGCAGATAAAAGCGCTGCTGCGTATTTTGAGAATCATAATTTGAATGCTGAGAATGACTCTGGTAGGCAGATTGCCTCTGGCACACAGTTCCTCGAGGATTCTTTGGGAATAGCTGTCAAGTCCCAGAGCAGCCCAGCTGATGCCAGTATAGCTCTGAGTGAGCCTGACCAAAACAGCAGATGTGGGAGCACTGACGGCCCATGGGAAGCTTCTCTAGAAGGTATCAGTGAAGAAGCACATACTCCACCTGCACCAGCGGTCGCCATACAGGTAAGGCTTAAAGAAAAAGGAATGTTTAAAAGAAATATTTTCATTACCACTTTCTGCGTGTGTGTGTGTGCGTGTGTGTGTGTGTGTGTGTGTGTGTGTGTGTGTGTGTGTGTGTGTGTGTGTGATGCGTGTGTGTTGGTGTGTATACACACACGCCACAGCATGTGTGTGCACATTAAAGGACAACTTTAAGGAGTCAGTTCTCTCCTTTCACTGTAGGGTGGGGGGCTGCACACAGTCTATGAGGCTTGCCAGGCAAGTACCCTTACCTACAGTGCCGTCCCAGTGGCCTGGAAAGGGTGTTTGTTGCTACAAAAGCTAAATTTGTTTTTCATTCTTCATTGCCATTATTTTTACTAAAAGAAGTAGTTGGCTTCATAGTGGTTATGAAAATTTTTTCTTGAAAATCTGTAAGCTGGGTGGTGGTGTCCCAGCACTAAGGAGGCAGAGGCAGGAGGATCTTTGTGAGTTTGAGGACAGCCTGGTCTACAAAATAAGTTGCAGGACAGCCAAGGCTACATAGAAAAACCCTGTCTCAAAAAACAAAACAATGTGGGAAGGGGGGTGGGGGAGGGAGGGAGGGAGTGAGGGGAGGGAGAGGGAAAGGGAGAGGGAGAAGGGATTGACACGTGAAACAAGCTTGTTCCTAATTTGAACTAATAAAAAAATTTACAAAAGAAAAAAAAAACAAACAAAAAAAAGATAGAGAAATGTTTGTCAGTATGAGCCTTCTGTAGGCATCACAAGTACCTTTATTGTTAAAAAGAAGTTTGGATGAGATTATTATATATAATAATCTGTGTCCCTACCAAAGTTCTACCCTGATAAATAACATGAGATAGTCACTTTCATGGTTAATAAAGGCAGGAGGAGGGGGTTGTGGCTACTTCCATAGGGAAGACCACACAATGCCAATGTCAGCAGCTTCATTCACAGCAAAGTCCCAGTAGTGGCCCCCAGTCTGAGCTGACAGCCCTGCAGAACCCACGGTATGTGATGCCAGCGCCCCAGAGAAGATAAAAAGGTGGGGTCTGAGAGTGAGCCTCGGGGGAAGAGAACTTGTTTAACATGTACAAAGCCCTGGGTTCCAGGCCAGTTACTTGATAAGGAATGAATAAATAAATAAGAAAGAAAGAACTTGGACTACATGTGCCCAGGTTCTGCCAGACCAGGAGGGGGAAGGAGAGTTGTAAGGGGACGACCAGGTGGAGAGAATGAGTGCTTTGTGTAAGTGCCTTCTTAACAAGCCTGCAGTTACCGCAGGCTTCTCTGCAGCTGTCTCTGGGTGTGAATTCAGTAACCCTTGCTGAATCCTGCTCACCTTAAGTTTTCTGCTTCCTAGGAGCTTAGAAAATATTGATACTAGTGAGCTAGCATTAATTTTGGTTGTATTCTAAATGATGTTTTCCTAATAAAACCTTTATATAAAGAGATATAATTGAAAAAATATCCTTGGAAAATCGTGGGCATGTTTTAAACTGTCACACAGTGGGCTCATGTTGAGCCACGTATGGCTGAGGACTATTAAGTTTTAAGCGGTTGCTCTGTCCCACAGGTGTCTCAGGGTGTAGCACACCAGGAAGTCAATACCGAGCCCTATGAACCTTTTGAGATGCAGCAGGTGAGTCAAAAGTATATTCAGTTGTTTAAATATTTCATTTTTTATGAACATATATGAATGGGTGCCAGCTAATCCCAAAGTTACTGTGGGATACACTTTAGACTATAACAAAAACTGTTGGTTTTGTTATTGAAAGTTGAGAAGAAGCAGCAAAGAAGTTTAGGTTTTGTTTGCCTTTATGTGTTAATTCAAATGATAATGACTTTGTTTTAGCCGATGTGATGAGCTTGATTAATGTATAAATAAGGTTTTGACATGAACGACATCAGAAGATCAAAGACTCGAACCCCTTTTAAAGTGGTTCAGTTATCTTGTTTAAAGGTGAAAACATCACCACTAGTGTCTATTATTGTTCTGGGAATATTAACTAATAAAGTTAGGTATTTAAAAAAAGGACGTATAAGTATCATTCTTGGAAATTAAGACCAGAATAATTGAAAGATAATTAAATACAAGATACTTTCCATGTATTAAGACCAACTTACTAACTTAAGAGAAAATATTACATTTTTAGTAGCAAAAAATCCATTTCAAGATATCTAAGCTACTATTGAGAGACTTAATGAAGAGATGAAATGCCTGAGTACTTGGTTGTTCGGGATGTAATGAAAAGATTGATTTCTCCACCACCCCCCAGTTTTGTTTCTTAATTCAGGGCTATCTTACTACATAAGTGACCCTAACCATGTCAGTAGTTATCTATTGAGCCAGGCTGCAGTGGGCACACCTTTAATACCAGTACTCTGGAGGCATAGGCAGGCAGAGCTCCATGAGTTCAAGACTGACCTCAAAACTTCATGGCTTAAAATAACAGTAAACATTTGCTCTGGCACAGTTTTTCTTGTTCGGAAGCCCAGGAGCTGTTCAGGAATTCTGGGTCTGGAAGAGTAAGTATTCTTAACACAAAAAGGGTTTGCCAATCAATAAGGAAAAAAAAAATAACCTGTCAGAAAAATGGGAATTAGTGTGACTATACAAGCCACAGTAAAAGAAATGTTGATGATTTTTAGACATTAGCAAACAAATCAATTCCATATGTATGGTATTGAGAGAAGTAAAATGCAGCATTGTGGGAAAGCTATACAGATTTATCTGCACTGATAGGTGTGTGGAGACCAGTGGACAAATAGTTAAATATTTGTTTTGTTTATCATTTTAACAGCCAAAATTAGATACAATTGAAACTTGCCCTATCAGTGGCTGAAATGTCTTGTGTTCATGTATTGAAATATTGTGTATTGAATGTATTGAAATACTGTGCGGTTCTTGAACACAGAAGCAGCTGTAGTTGAGTACACAGAACTGTGTTGCTCATACTGTCTAAGCAAGACCTTTATAGTTTCATAAACTAACAAGCCTTTAGATTATTTTAAGTACACATTACTAGAAATAGTGAGAAATTGAATATCAGCTACATTCATCTTACACATGCCAAGTTTTTTTTTGTTTCTTTTCTTGTTTTATTGTGAAAGGGTCTTAACTATGTACCTTGGCTGTCCTGGAATTCATAGAGATCCACCTGCCTCTGCCTCCTTAGTGCTGAGGTTTACGGTGTGCACTACCACACCCAGCCGTTGATAATACTTTGATGTGCTGCCTTGTTTGTTCATTTACATATAGTTAAGTGATATCTTGTAAAAGATGGATTCTTGTTTTAATGCATCTGGAATTTGATTCTTCTGTTAGTACCTGTTGGAGAACCACAACATGTTTTCTTATTTCTTTACAAGAATGAGTGGCAATTTATTTGCTGTATGAATTATTGAACTCTTAGAATGTATCTACTGTCTTTGTAGACAGTCCTATAGCAAATCAGTCTGTTGAACACAGTATATATTCAGTATGTGGGCTGTTCTTATTTTTACTTAGCTCTAAATCAGGAGAGTCAGTCATCATTGAGAACACTCACAAATGCTGTGTTAAATTAGTTCTTAGTTTCAAGACTCTGAGACAGGTCCAGGTGACTGGCAGCTTTCCATCCATTGACAGTTACACTTGAATCCTTGACTGCTGTGTTTTTCTGGGACTTTGAGAAGTTTCTACACACTCTCGCCCTTGGTTTTCAGACCTATAAAAAGCTTATTACATATTTCTTATGCAAATATGATGAATTTTAAATATAATAACCTAAAGCTACCATTTAATGTCTCAACTGTCTGCACTGGTGCCTATATAGAAGTAACCAATAATACCATATGCATTGTGATTCTCTTATGAAATTGAGAATAAATTAGAGACACTTGAAGTCTTTATGTCAAGCCCGGCTTGTGTGTCAGGGTGGGTGTGACCGTTTCACTTCTTTATAGTGCTAAATCTCGGTCTGGACAGACATAAACTAACTGAGGCCTCCAGAGCACATGGGTTTGTCTGCCTGTGCTAGCTGGAAGTCACAGTCTTCTCATAAATCCTATGATTTCCATTACTTGATTCCTTGCCCTTTTAGTTGTGAAGTAGTCTGTTCTGTTGCAAGTAAGTTGTTAAGATGGCACAGGTTTGTGCCACTAGGGTTGATTACTGAAGAGGACTGCCACAGGAGGGCAGTCCTCTGCACCTCCCGGTTTCCCAAATCCCACAGTGCTTTCTGCAGACACAGTGGCACTAAATTACATAAATATCTGTTGTTCATCGGCATTTCATAGGACACTATCACATCTTCTTTTTCTGTTTGTTTTGATTTTAAGCTAATCGATAGTAGGTAACAGAAAGCAGTTCATTGGTAACATTTAAAAAAAAAATTAGCAAGTAAGCAGAGCAGAGGTGATACACACCTTCAATCCAGCACTCAGGAGGCAGAGGCAGGTGGATCTCTGTGAGTTCAAGGCCAGCCTGGACTCCAGAGCGAGTGCCAGGACAGCAGTGCTACACAGAGAGAGGTATCCTGTCTCGAAGAAAACAAAAACAAAGCTGGCTCTTCTGAACAGTATTTAGAGGTTTTAAATTCTGGATTATTACAAAAGTTCCCACATAAATTTTCCTTTTACCTTCCTTTGAGACAGTTCAAAGCAGATGGCAAGTTTTAAGTGGCTGTTAATTGATGCCTCTGTGGTTTACTCTTAGGGGGACCTTTCCCGGATTGAGAAGGAGCACCTCCTGTTAAAAGACCAGCTGAAGGCAGCATCGGAGAAGTATGAGCAGATAAAACTCAAGAGCTCAGAAGAGACCGGGGACCTGGAAGAAAAGCTGAAAAGGAACGACGAAGAAAACAAGGTGACCCTGTCCTTGATTGATTACGTGTGGCAGAGTGAGGAGGGCACCGGTGTGAGCTGCAGTGTGGAGCCTTGCACAGGGCTTTTGAAGAGAGGACTGTAAATCTGGGGTTTCATTCATCTTCAGTTGCATTTCTCTGGTTAATGGAAACTCTTCCGTTCCGAGATGAATTCCGAAGCCAGCAGCCTCACAGGGGAGGTGACGTGTGAGGCCAGAGTCAGTCTTGGTTCTGCTTAGAACTGTTCTGATGGGGCAGTTAAGTCATTTCACTTAAGTTAGTTTTCTCATCTGGAAGATTCGGGAGTAACTGCATATTTCCCGAGTTTACTTTAACACTGTGCATGCTCAGGTCAGGAAGTAGTGGTTCCATTGTTGTCGTCCTCCATCTTCTAAGTAAGTGGGAGAGTAACTGAGGGAGCCCAGGGCAATGCGATTTCGGATGCAAGAGAATTATGCTCTTTTTTAGAGAAACTGCTGCTTCTTTAAAGGAAACAGAGATTATAACTCGTTGCCGAAGGGAAAACATTGTTTGAGATTGGAATATCCTCAGAGGAAAAGGGTGGATGGTCGCAGGGGACTGTGGTGACAGTACCAGGACCTGTTTGCATGCAGATAGAACAAAGGATGACAGGAGTTAGTCGTTCTCTTCACTATCTTTCTGGGAAAAATAAAATAGTAAAAAAAATAATAAACCCTAGTTAGCACATGACACATGGGATACAAGCTTGAATAAATGAGAGATTAAGTCAAATCATGATACAAATGTGGTTTGCCTCAGGAAGATTTACACTGTAATTCCTGTGGCCTCCTGTGTGAGTGACAGGCAGATTCAGGCCCATAGTCACTTCAGGTAGTCATTTGGTGAGTGACATTTGTGACAGATGTCACCAGCTCCACAAAGTGGTGGTCAGGCTGGGTACTGTGTTTATACAGTCCCGTGAGCCTGCTGTGTGTAGAGATCATCTCTGCTCTGGGGAGACGGTGTGCCCAAGAGGAGGGCTGTGACAGAATAGAGCTTGGCTGCTGCTCCCTGGCTCTCATGCGTGAGGTCTCAAGCTTTTAAGAGAGGGTCTTACTGTGTCGTCTAAACTGGGTTCCAACGCAAGATCCTTTGCCTCAGTCATGTTGGGAGCGCAGGCAGGCAGCCTATACCAGGCTCCTTGTGCCTTTTCCTTCTATGAGCTTTAGCTCTGGTGTCATGTGACTGCACTCAAGAACAGTCCAGTCATTTCGTTCCTCAGCATGTGCTTGTTCAGTTTCTAGACTTCCCTGGTGAACTAACTGTGTACCTCTTAAGTTGTGTTTCTGAGTTTGGTTGTGTTAATAAGATCATTTCCTTATCAATTATGAAGCAGCTTTGTCATTAAGGGCGATGAGTGCAAACAGCACATGAACAATATTTTCATTGGCAGAGCTGTGTGTGTGTGCACACAAACGTGATTATAATTCTTTACTTTCTGTTACCTGATTTCCTGGAGGTACCTTTGCCCAGTAGGTTCGCATGCCCTAGCATAGCCTTGTGGTTGCCTATAATCTTTTCACAGCACTAGGTCCAGGTGAGGTCATTGGCTCAGAGTGTAAACAAAGGTGGCGTGGCTTCCAGCTACACAGCAAGTCGACTTGGTCTTGGAAATAGAAGTGGCCATGTAGAATACAGGAGTTTATTTATCCATGTGGAGGGCTTGCGTCATCCTAGGCCCAGTGCTGGTGCACTGTTTGGCATCAGTAAGACTTTATTAGCAAGGAAAATGTGGACAACTCCCCTTCCCCAGCCTGAGGGGGGAAGCACACACATCCATCTAGAGTACTCTCTGACGTAGGTCTCGGCTATCACAGGAACTCCACTCCTTAGCAGGCCCAGCTCTAGAAGCATCAAAACCCTTGGTGTCTGAGGCTGAAGAGGGGAGAAATGGCCTCTTGGTCTGTATCGTTTTGACTTGAAATCCATTACTTCCTATTGTATCTGTGTAGGTTTATTGTAGTCGTTCTTTCTGAGGGAAAAAGCCCCATGTTTCTGTAGCTGAATCCTTGATCTCAGCATGCTCTGAACCTAGACAGGAAGAACTAAGAAGTTAAAGTCTTTCACTAGCAAATAGGAGCACAGGATTTCATTAAACGGTGTTGGTAGTCGTGGAGTTTGAGACTGGACACTAACATCTTTTTAGTTGTTATAAACATTGCATGGATTGTCTGGTGCACTTTAATTATTAGAAGCAGTAAGGTATGCCATGTCTTGCTTGTGGCTGGTATTTTATCTACAAAGTACCCTACTCAGATGCCTTGTTCCATGTTTATCAGGACAGACATTTCAAAAGCAGCAGCTGTGTAAGGGGCTGAGAACTAACCCTGGGAGTGGTGTTGACCCTTACCTCCAGGGCAAGGGAGTAAGCAGTGATCACCTCAAGAGAGTTTCTCTGCCATACTGCCTGGACTGCAGACAGGTGTGCAATCCAGATGCCTTTAGTGATCAGCCAGGGGTGTCACATTTATATTTCTAAAAGCAAGAATAATCTGTTGGACTTGCCAGCAAAAAAGTATTTCCATGATTATTCAAATCTTTCCTAAATTGCTCTTAGATCTCCAAGACAGAATTAGACTGGTTCCTCCAAGATTTGGACAGAGAAATTAAAAAATGGCAGCAAGAGAAAAAAGAAATCCAAGAAAGATTAAAGGCCCTGAAGAAAAAAATTAAAAAGGTTGTAAATACCAGTGAAATGTAAGTAATGTTTTATTTACGGTGTTATTGTTTTTAATATCCTATGGGTTCTGATTCTTGTCACGGTCTTTGTACTTCATTTCAAATACATATCAAGTAAAAAGCCTTAGAGATAATATTTCCACAATCGTTTTACATCATTTGAAAAGCATCCATGGAAGAATTCTTTCACCTAAAACTTGGTCTGAACTGGAGTGTTTTCAGATTGGTTATATGTAAGTGGGAGTAGCCTGGTGCTGAGTCAGCAAAGGTTCAGTTGCCTACAGCCGGACAGCACTGTGAACATGTTTACTGCCCTGCCGTGCTGGGTGGCTTAGTTACCTATTTTCTTACTTTGCGATGGTGCCATCTCACGGTGTAACCCGGGCCATCCTTAACCTCTAGATTTCCCTATCGTGTTCCTGAATAGCTGGGATGCCAAGCATGTTCAATCCTGGAAAAAAAAAACTAAAAATTGCTGAGTTCCCGGGAGCTTTGTTTTGTTTTCTTCATGGATGTGGGCTGGAAGTTTATTGTGTGGAGTTGTAGTGAAAAAACCTGAAAGGTAACTGAGGTCTTGTGGCTGCTTTTATAGGTCTGCCTACAAAAATGACGGATTAGATAAGGAATGCGGATCGAATCTGGACCAGTCCCTGGGAATCAGGCAAACCAAGATTTAATTTTTCTTAGCATCTTTCACTACACTCTCAATAGACTCCTCTGTCTCTCAGATAATTCTCAAGTCCTGGATATGCAGATATCCGGGTTTCTGCTTCTATCTCCCATTGTCAGTACAAAGAATGGCCAGATTTTATTGCTGTCATTTACTCCTTTTCTTTTTTTTTTTTTTTGAAGTAGGGTCTTACTGTGTAGACCAGGCTGACCTTGAACTCACATAGATCCACCTGCCTCTGACGAGGTTAATAGGCTT